TTTTATATTTTCTTTATCCTAAGGTTTTTCAATGTGGCTTGCTTTTTTTTTTTATCTGTATCATCCACTTTCATTTGTTTATTTTATATGTTACGGAAAACAATTGCTTTATACTTCTGTTTCAGGAAAAAAGTGTTGAAAATAACTGAAGCACACCAGAAATAAAACAGTTTCTGTGCTAACCTTCCACAGAGTGCTTCTTGACTGATGGTAACCATAAAGTATCAGTATCAGCCACAGAAATGTTTTGTCACAGCAGGTCTACCTGTGGCTGCCAGCCAGACTGCTTGTTTTTGAAGTAAATGAAAACACTGATAACTGTTCTTTTTCTTTAGGGTGAAAAAGGAAGCACAAAAGCAAACTTTTCCACCTTATTTGTACTGTTTTTTTTTTTTTTTATACAACACTGTTTTCCTGCCAACTTCTTCCTTAGAAAATATTTGGCCACCTGATTGTTGTATTTTTTTCCTCCCCTCTCTGTTTGACAATTTCCTGCCAACACAGTTCTTGTGAGCACATCACAGTGTTCCTACTCAACCATAATTCCAACCTTTTGGCCTTTACTCTTTCTACCTTTATTTTCAGGTTGGCAGTTGCTTATTTTAAAATCTTTTCACCGTGAAAGGCTATATAAGCCACAAGTAATAAACACAGGCCTGATATTGCTCATGCAATATCAAATACTTTCCTTATTGCTCAAATTTGTTTCTAGCTCTGGAAGCTTTGGTTTTGCCCAGTGAATTTCCTTTCTGCTGAAGCAGTCTAGAACTTGTGCTCCAGCCTCCTTAGAACAGTAAGCCCATAAAAAACCAAGCACACAAAATTATGCAGGTGTCCATTGGTAGGCTTATTTTTGTTTAAACCATGAATTACTCTCTTAACTGGTTATTCTCAGCTTTGTTTACCAGCGTTTACCATTTTAAGGTTGATTTTTAAATGGTGGAATTCTATTCTGTTTATTTTTAAGGTTTCACACTGTCTTCACTTAAAAACAAACATATGAACTACAAAACAAGCACAAAAACTCATCCTGCTCATAACAGAAGACTTGTTGACTGGATATATTAACATCAAACCACTTAGTTTTATAGTAGTCAGTTTTATAAGCATGGTGATTGAGTTCAAAATGTCAAAAACTTTTAAAGAGGTTTTCAGATAAGTGCTGTCAAAAACAGGCTGAGTAAAGTTAACCAGTGGACAAATGCTAGGTCTGAATACTTCTGTGTCTGAGTCTGCACTATCTTTGCTGATCACAATGGCACACCTGTTACACATGCAGTAACCATGCCCAACTCAGATCAATTCCTCCATGAATAAGAGCTGCTCTCAGCTAACTTTTCTGAAGGTTCCTCTGATATACAGTAGTATAAGTGACACAGAAGCCACAGCCAAATTTGTCATCTGATGGCATTTGAGTGACTGCCTCCAAACTTCTATTGAAAAGATATTTGCATAATGAGCACCACCAGCATCACTGAACATAACTGACAAACTTGTAGCTGTCTTTACAGATGGAGAAGAATTAAACGTACATTCTTTTTTCCTACAAGTCAGGTCTGAGGAAGAGCAGCAATGCTGCTAAGAGAACAGGATTTAATCTCAAGTTACAAGTTATTCTCTTTAATTGCTAACTCCTGCATACAGAAGAATCCAATCTCTCCTCAGACACTGAGCTTCTACTCACAGGAAACTGAGCAAATGAACTGAAATGCATGTCAGAAAAAGGTCTGTATGTACCTTACCCCAGAGAAGTTAGAAGCACACATTAAGTATAAATCACTGACCAGAAAATAGCTGGAAATACTGGGAAAATAAGCATGGAATTAATCACATGGATGTGTAGATCAAGTACAGCCAATGGAACTCATAAGAAGTGAGGCATACACTGAGGTTTGAATTGGATCAGCATTTTAAAATACTTTAAAAACATGCTATACAGTTAATGATGGGAAAAACATTTTACGCTCGAGTTTCCATCTTTAATTTCACTTTCAAATAAAACCCCAAACCTTAAGATAGTCTTTGGAGTCCAGGAGTTTGATATTTGGCACACCTTAGCAAACAGAAGCAGTTTACTCTCTTAGCAGAATGGTAGTTTGAGATTTTTCTTTGAACTCCTTTTTCTTTCAGAATGGACATGTAATAAAATACAAGAAACATGCAATTAAGCTTTCTTTCAAAGGTACAGTATCAGTATCAAAAGTTCACAAAATAAAAACAGATATTTTAATTTTGTAAGGAAGGCAGCTAAGTAGATTCACTGAATATGGAGATAGGAAGCTACAGTTAAATGATGTATGAAAAGGACTAATTTCCAAACAAACAGCAACCTGCCAAAGACACATACAAATAAGAATTAAGACTTCACCCTTGACTAGATGCTCACATAGGCATAGCATTACAAGCACATACTATATCAAACTGTAATCTTGTAACCAGTGAGAAGACTTGCATCCTTTTGATGAAAGAAAAAATAAAAAGCTTTGCAGTGCAGTAGACTACCTACAGAAATGAATGAGTTTTCAAGTAGTGATCATCAGAAAATGCATGTACTAAATTAAAGCTTTCTGGACAGCTGCTGGCTTTCATTATGTCTTTGACAGCACAGGCCTATGCTTGTGGCCTTATCTCTTGGGATTAAATGAGGCTCTCAGCTTACTGTGGTTTTCTCCCCTCCCCCCTCACCCAAACAAATAAAACTGTCTTATACTCTAAAAGACTGGTATTCAAATATGAAAGTGTGAAACAAGAGATACATCTTGAGAAGTCCCCCCAAATCCATTATTCCTGTAGGCTGAACTGGAAACATCTTAGCAGTAACACAGCATCCCAGGGGCTGCTGAGGCAACTACACCACACTCAGTGAAAATTAGTGGCAATGTCATGCCTTCAAGAAGAAAAGAAGCTCTACTCTATCACTACTCATGCACAAAACATGTATTTTTAATATGCACATCTTCAATGGAGAATGGTTCTATAGCATGAGAAAAACACAGTTGAAGAAATGCTCTTAGCTCCTTGTACCTACCACTACAGGTGATTCTCCTTGAGCCAAACACAGACCGCAGTCCCCAGTGACTTATAACCACAAAGCCATGCATTTCAAGGGAGGAAAGTATTTAGCAAGGGGCAACCAAGGATGATTAAGGCAGCTGATGATCAAGGAAAATTTATCTTCTTTCTTCCTATTATTTGTTTTATTTTATAGACAAGACTGTTAAAACAGAAGGATTTGGAGCTTTTATAAGGTTTCTATGTAAATTATTTCTAGATGTGATTTTCCAGAGATAGATCCTTCAAAATAAGTGATTTTCCTTAAACAAACCTGAGGATAACCATGAGAATACTAAAGACCTCAGGAAAACGATAGACTTGGCATCTTAAATGGAAAGGCAATATTTTTTTTTAACCAATATTTTCAAAATTTTTTTCAAACGTATTCTACACAGTAACAATGCCTCAAAAGTATTTATCTCTTGGCAACTCATTCAGTGAGTCCATAGAACTACCAACCCAGCATAGTTGCAAACTACTTTATTATATACAAATTTAAGTTTACTGAAATTACATACCTAGTTTGTAATTATTACTCAATTTTCTCCTTTTGATAAATAGTAATTAAACATTAAAACAAAGACATAAAATTGACTGAAAATTCTTCACAGATTTTTTTCAATAGGAAAACATCTTTGGATGAGATAGAGGTTTTCACTAAGAAACAACAAATAATCCTTTAGAATTATAAATTTTTAAGAATAAATTACTTTCTTAAAAATAATTCTAAAAAAATTTTTATGAAGACATATGCATAAAAACAGCTAGGAAGGAAAAAGGAAAATTGAAGTATTTTCACTTCTATCTTCCAAAATTTATTGATTAAAAAATGCAAGTACTTCATTTTTTGAGTCATGAAAATGATTTTTTTTTTTCTTTCTTATGCAAATGTTCAGATACATTTAGGATTGTTTCCCCCCATAGTGAAGACAGGAGACCCTGTACCACCTCTGTCAATATACAAGATCCACTTCATAAAAGCTTTCAACAAAAATAAGATTTATCACATCGTGGGTGGGAGGTTTAGGTTACCTTAACTTCTCAATTTAAGTAAATACAGGATTATAGGTATATTGCTTTCAGTATTAGTTTCTCATAAAGATATAAGGAGCCTCCCCTATAGTTGTCATTTGTTTAGATCATACTGGCATTATGAGAAATAAGACCATGAGAAAAAAGTCTGAGGTTTCTGCTGAAGGTAAAATAAAGGCAAAAGATTATTCAATGCTAAAATGCTATAGCGTGATAGAAAGAATGTGACTGAAAGCACAACAGTAGTAGCATAGTTGCATAATCCTAGGCTGCAGCAAATAAGAACAAGCCCAATAACAGCAGTTGTGGACTCAGAACAAAGAGAAAAAAACTGCTTACCTTCAAAACACCTCAGTAAACAGGGACCCACTACCACTCCTTAAATGAAGTCTCTGGAAAGGGATGGATCCTGACTCCACCCTTTTTCATCACTCAGGTACATTGCATGTACCTGAGCTCCCTTGAGTTGGCCATACCTTCCTACCAGATGCTCAATCACTGTTCCAGGCTATAACTTAGTACTTTTACTAAAGGAAAAGCAGAAGAAAGGAAAATGCTTACTTGATCAAACTAAAATGATGTAATGGAAGAAGATATGGAAATGTTGACCTTGTTCATAGGCTAACTCAATCACTCCAGTTTGCCACAATGTAAATAATACTTCCCCTCACTGAAATGCATAGCTTGATTTTTTTTTGATGCTAGTATATTACCTACTTAACCTTTATTCATCATCATGAACGCTTAGTTAGCTACGTACATCTCTAAATAATACTTTAAAAATTTGGTAATGTGAACCTCTGCATAATCAACAAATATTAATAGATCATAGCTATGAACTAAACAAGAAAGTTAGACAAAACAGATTATAATAACAAAAAATCAGTAGATAGAAAGCTTACCCATATCCTAGGCTCACTTTCAAAACTCCAGCAGAGTTCCCTCTCCAGAAGAGATCCTTCCCTACTAGCAGCCAGCTCTTACATGGGTGTAGGAGAGGTGGAGCCAGGCTCCACCCTTTCTGGCAGCACAGGTGAATTGAATCAATCAGAGGTTCAGGCCGTGACTCAGCATATACCCTTCTGTAAGTAATAGGAAAGAAGTGGTATTTAGCATTATTTACCATTTAGCTCTTGATTCCTAGCTATAACAGTGTATGGGAACTGCTGAATCACGGCCTGAACCTCTGATTGATCACCTGAGGCGAGCCATGAGTCAGCCATGGAAGCACAGGTGAAGGCAATTCACCTGTGCTGCAGGAAGGGGTGGAGCCTGGCTCCACCTCTCCTAGACCTATTTAAGAGCTGACTGCCACCAGAGAAGGATCTTTTCCTGGAAGTCCCTTCTTTGGAGTTTCAGAGTAAGCTCAGGGTAAGGGTAAGTTCTCTATCTATTCTCTTTTTGGTATAGTAATCTGCTTAGCCAAATGCTCTTGTTTATTTTGTAATTACAGCATCTTAGTATTCATTGATCATACAAACTGTTAAATATTCTTTCTTCCAACTGCCATATGTTTGTTTTTCATTCCATTTATGATAAAATCTTCAGACAGTATCAGTAAGGTAAATTCTAGCTAAAAGCATCTATTAATAAGATTACTTATTCTGCTATCTGCAAGTTGCTGTTGCTTCTGTTTTTGGAACAAAACATACTGTTCAACAGCAGTAGAAGCAATGCTTCAAGTGATGACATATAAAATTAAAGAAAAAGAATAAAAATAAGCGTAGCTACTGAAAGCATCCTTATATCTCCAATCAGAAGTACTTCAGTAAAAAAAAAAAAACATTTGAACTAATAAGTAGGATTAATTCACAAACTAATAAGTAGAATGAGCTTACAAACATTCCAGTGTTTTTGTCCACATTTCTTCCCTGTAGCCATCAAATGTGCAATCTCTTGTTCTTGTGTTATTTCCAGTATCAGGTACTGAAATGCTCTGAACAGCATCAAAAGAGGTTCCTGGATACGTAAATGAAAGCTTGTGGAAGTCTTATACAAAACTAAAACGTACATTTGTAGATTTGTAGCTGTGATACGTGAGTACTGTGCTAACTACTGGAGATAAAGCTGCAAAAGTAGAAGATAGTTCTGGTACTGATTCCAACAGAAGTGGGGGGAAAAAAAGGAATCTAATAGGGTAAGTAGTGGTATTGGTAAATAACATTTATTTCTAGTGGATGTCTATATTCAAAGAGTGTTGTACAGACACAAAGGCTGAAAGAGAAATCTAAAGTTATAAAGTTAATATATGTATTCTGAGGCTGGGCCCAGTATGTCCAAACTACATTCTCTTAAAAATTGCTGAGAAACTTCTTTCCACCACACTGGTAAGCAACCAGGCCCAGTGTCAGCTGTCCCAGAAGGAAAGCTCTAATATTTCATCAATACTTCTGAAATAAAATCAGCTGATTATTTGTTGTTTTAAATTTCGTGAGCAAGATCAGAGTCCATATTATGGAATCACTTTACATGCAAAGAGACTGATATCATGATACAAGTACTTCTTTGCTAAGCCAAAAACACCTAAATCCTTTCATTCTTTCAGGTAATAATTCTTAGTATGTGTTGTCTGCATTTCATTCAGTTCTTGACATCTTTGTACTTATTTAAAGGCAGTGAAAATGCTCCAGCTCTTTGGTATCAGTAAAATGAGATTATCTTGCTTTTCATATACTGTTCATGGTATATGAACATATAGTTTGACCTATTTCATAGGTCAAAATATAACCATATTTTGTGATTCAATGTAATTCTTCTGCTATGTTGTTTTAGAAACTATTCCCTAATTTTTCCTTCTGATGTGAAACTAACTTGCATTTTATTTCTTAGTTTAACTTTGATTTTGAATAATTACTTTATTTTGAATTATAAATATTTAATTATTTTGAGTAATTTCTGTGTGATTTTGAACAGGCATCCTACATTTCTCAAGAGCTTGCAGCTCTCAAAAACTGACAGATAGCTAATTGCATATGCCAGCACAATATTGCAAAAGCACAAATTGTTCATGTAATTTTTATTCTGTCAAAGAATTAGTTACTGGAGATTGTAATAGATTGAACCCTGGACTATTCCATTGAAGATGGCTCTTGGTATGTCCTCCTAGATTAAAAAAATAAATAAATTCAAGCTTAAGGATAACTTCAATGTCAATCAGTTGAATGTCCACTCTAAGACATTGCATTATTTCCTAGTTCATCAGAATAACTAAACAGTTACATTATTTCATACAGATTGTGTAATATTCTTAGAGTGGCATTTAATTGAGACTCCCTAATCCACCATTCGTATTATTAATGAGAACACTAAGCAGCACGAACATTGACAGACTGCCTTTCAGTCCCGACTGATAGCTTGGTGATGAATCACTAATTACTAGAGTATGAGTTTCCAATCAGTTGCATAGGAGTTTCAAGAACACTTAAGTGTGGCATGCTATCAAAAACCTAATGAAATCAGAATGTATTATGCCTACTGCTTTCGCCTTTCATCATAGGCTGTCAACTATTGTCAAATAAAAAGAGTGAATTGGTTTCATAAACTTCTACTGGAAGTTTCCTAGTAGCTTATTATCTTGCTGATGCTTAAAGACTGATGTTTTAGTCATTTATTTTTGAGGGACGTGAGAGGATTAAATCAGTTTCTATTACAGTGCTATACACTTAAGTTAAAACAACACTGATATTTCTTGTGTGGAAAGTAAAAATTCTGTAAATATTCTGTGATTGCGTACATCCTTGTATCCCTTATCACCTCAGTCCAGTTCTTGATAGTCTTGGGAAAACATGTTATGTATTATAGAGTAACTAACTTGTGTTAGAAGAGATCTCTGGGGGTTCAATCCTCTGCTCAAAGCTAAGATTATGAGGTTGAGTTGCACATGGCTTTGGCCAGTCAGGTTTTCAGGAAACAAAAAAGCAGCATTCTGATTGAATTAAAACTGAATGTTGTATCATCTTCTATTCTCAAATATGTAACAGGAATGGAAATGTTCACTATATGCTTTTTAAATTCACTCATCCTATAAGAGAGAGGAGAAAGACCTATTTTCATTTTCATTTTAGAAGTATCTGCACTAGTCTTGCCTTCACTTCGCAAGAGAAATCATTGAAACATGGGTGCTTTAGTTAAATAGGTAAGACTCAACCTAAGACTTTGATCATGCTTGCTGGTACTATTGTAAGTGGCTGAATCAAGCACGAAAACCTTGAAAACAGTACACAGCATTTAATAATAGTGTTAGATTCTGATAGTGAGGAATAAAATGCAATTCTCTTTAGGGCAGTGTATGGGAACTGCTGAGTCATGGCCTGAACCTCTGATTGATCACCTGAGGCGAGCCATGAGTCAGCCAGAGGAGCACAGCTGAAGGCAATTCACCTGTGCTGCAGGAAGGGGTGGAGCCTGGCTTCACCTCTCCTAGACCTATTTAAGAGCTGGCTACCAGTGGGGAAGGATCTCGTCTGGAGATCCCTCCTTCTGGTGTTTTGTGGGTGAGCCCAGCATAAGGGTAAGCCTTCCATTTATTCTCTCTTTTTATCATAGTCCACTTTGCCTAACTCTCTTGTTTATTTTGTGATTGTAACATCTTGATATCCATTGATTATACAGGCAGAGATGTCTAGGATCTCAGAGGAATGATTTGAAAAGGTAAGCCTAGGAGGAGAAAGCTTAAGGAAAAAAGATTCAGTAATTTTTGGTTGAAAGCCTTCTAGGACGTTTTATCGGGTATATATATTGTATGTCTCAGCCTGCTTGCTTGAAAAGTTATAAACACTATACTGGTGTATTTTATTACTCTCTGGATTCAATTTACGTGCAGAATTCATTTCTCCTGTCGAAGCTTCCCAGAGCAAAACCAAATCTGAATCAGAAATACAATAACTATTTCACCTTCCTATTACTGCCCGTAATTCAGTTATCTGCATTGAGTGGGGAAAAAAAAGTTTGAGGAGGGAAACTTCCTTTCTGCCACAACTTCTCTCTGCTCAAAGTTTTTTGCTGTTATGTAACATCTGTGCTTCCCACATTTCTTTGACAGCGTTGCACAACACTATCCCAAAATGCTGAATTTGATTACCTCTCAGACTTCTGCAGGTTTCTCTTCCTAACACACAACAAAAATGTTAAGATTTTGAATAACAAGTTAAGGGTGTGTATGTTTTTTTGAGAAATTACTCCCAGCCATTTATAATACTGAAAATTACACTCTACCACTTATAAAACTGAAAAAAAATCTCATTTCTTTTCCAGAGCAGACTTTGTGTATCAACCATCTGCTACTGACTTTAGCCATCTATTGAAGTATGGTTTCATCTTTCACTAAGGATTAGCCCATGCCATTCTCATCTGATACAGACTTGATCATCCATATATTTAATACCATATTTTTAAATGTCTCCTTCCTGGTTATAAGACATAGATTATTAATCTCAGAGGTGATGAGGAGATGATCTGTATGAGGAATGCATTCCATTAAATTTTCCAATAAGCTCTTAAAGGGATATAAACTCTTTGTTGTGGGTGCAGCTGAATCTTTCCTGTTCTCTTTTGCCAGGAAGATATGAGTGGCTGGAGTGTTTGATTCTATATATAACTAGTTGATGTCAGCTGGATGCCAATCCCTTTGAAGAGGATCAGCCCCCAGTTTGTCTCAGTACTAGGTACCATGCAGATCCAAGCACAAGGGTAGAAACCATCCTGGACCAGGCAGGTCACCCCCATTCACAACTCCTGAAGTTTCAACTAAAGAGTTGAGATCACTTTTTTTCTGCACAACGAAACAGTACGGTAAGTGTATTGTTTCCTGAAATATTTTGTCATTGACTGTCATACAAAGTAGCAGATAAAAGACATTTATGTAACCTGTTGGCTCTTCAATTTCAAAGATGTTTATTTTTTAACATAGTCAGAAATGCACCTTCTTTAAAGATGCCAGAGCATCTTCTTCCTCAAATTCTTTATTAGATTAAGAATATCAGTATAACGTTTTGAAAACGTAATACAAGGTATAATAAAAATGTTAGTTATGAAGTTTTTTATTGTAATGTGTAGATATGCAAAGGCCTAAATCTCCAACACTGATTTTGCTGCAAAATGTATGTATCCAACTCAAAGCTCATTCTTTGGCAGTTTCTATCCATGTAAATACCTTCTAGTATCGAACTGCAAGCAGAAATTGCCAGTGCATCTTGCCTAGTTAAAAACACTGTATTTCTACAGGAGAAATAATAAAAAAAAAATTACTATTCAGCCATTCTAAACATGCTATCAGAAAATTAAAGTTGGCTTAATAGCATGAGCTGGCTCAACAATATAAAAATGTGTGGGTTTTCTTTTTTTTTCAGCAAGGAAAAATCACATCAGAAAATCACAATGTTATCACATTCTGCCATGGTCAAAGAGAGGAAACAACAAGCATCAGCCATTATGGATGAAATACAGAGAAATGGTATAGAGCTGAACACAACTTACTCTATATGCACTGTCCTCTAGCCCTCCCTAAAACATTTTTTAATCACAGAGTTTAACTCTCTTACAGCTTTGTCTCTGAGTGTTTTGCCATAAATAATCTTGGGGGAGTATCGTGCTGCCTATGGTAACTAATCCTTTTGTAGTTGCCTCTTTTCATTTGAAAGCTATTTTCAGATGAACAACTGCTGTGAAGGAATGAAGTAATCTAACAGCTGATGTGCATTCTGCTAGGATAGCCTTTCAGAACATTATTTGGGGTTAATAACGTGACTTCATTCCATTTTAAATGGCTATCAGCTGAGGAACATGTTGATCTGCCTGTATCCTTTTTTTTTTTTCTTTGGCACTCTTTCATGTTGCTTTTATTAATAGGAATGATAAAAATTTTTGAAATAATTTACAGCTCTGTTCCTAATAATTAATCTCTGTAACTAACAAAATTTGCTATCAATCTGGCTATTTTCTCCCAATTCATAGCCACCAGTTAATCTTATATGCAGAAATTTTACTTTTCTGTTGTTGCATTAATGGAAATGTAGACATGAGAAGGTAGCTCAATGTTCAAAAAGAGCTTATTAAAATTACACTTCTAGTGTGACACCTTTGGAAGCAATTAACTCACCTGGGAATGCTGGTTGTCTTAGTTTTCATTAGGTATGTGCTGGGTGCTTTTGGAGATCCTTCCAATCCTTCCCATGAATCTTTTAAAGATTAAAATACCATTATTTTTAAAGTGATAAGAACTCTACGAGTGGCACTGAAAAAAAGAGTTCTGCCAATATTAAGAATTTTTGAAAGTCATACTTCTTACATACGATAAAGCACTGGACATTAAATTTCAATACTGAAAAAAATTTCTTGTGGTCTTTTGATGCAGAGTTTTGGGAGGTTTTCTGTACGTGTTCACTGACCAATCTGAGTGCTGGAAAAGTAGGACCAGAAACACAAAGAATTGAGAAAAAAGTAATATTGCAGTGTTGGTCCTAATACTGATAATTACATTTTTCAGTAATTTCTGTTCTTCTTCCTTTTTTTTTTTTTTTCCCCAACTGAACATACACAAGTCTAAAACCCAGGCTACCTGTACAGATTTCATTACGACTCAGATTTTTATTTGTCATGAAAGTATCATATGTGCCTGAAAAAGCCACTAAGCTCTTCAGGGCAGAAAAACTGTTTAGAATAATGAATTTCAAATGGTAAATGTTGCTGTTCATTGCAATACTAATAATTATACCATGCAGTTCTGGTAGTCATTGGAGTAGTTGAATAACCTGGGTTGATGTTTACCTTACATAATCTGTCCTTTCATTACTCATACATGTAGATATAAACAGATCCTACAACTTGTTTTTTAAGACATGCTGCGATACAAGGCCACTGAAGACAATACAAACACCTTAACCCTTAACTTTGTATTCTACTTCTGCCTCTTCTTTGGATGTCTGGGATATATACTTTTTTTTAAAACAAAGGGAAATTTCATGAAATGTGCGTGGTAACTTGTATAAGTTAAAGTTTTAGACTCTTAAGTGAAACCAATTTGAAAATAGAAGGATAACCAAAGCCATAATTAGACAAAACATATGCTGGTTCTCTAGGACCAAATTTGAACCATCCTTCAAGAAATCAGGGATAAATCTGATCTTTGATAATTTATTTCCCCTCAATTGCTAATTAAACAAGTTTAGCCTGAGATTTGGAAGATAAAATGTTGTGCGTTGCTGTTTGTAATGAAGGTCCTGCACCTGAAAATTACCTAAAAACTAAACTTCATCCTGAAAGAAACTGCTGTTTCACAGACCTTAGAAATACTAAGCATTAACAGAGGTAAACATTAACAGGAGGTTCTGTAGTGCAAGTCCTTTTGGCTTGGGATGGCATTCAGAAGTATACCTACTGCATTTTTATTTTAGCTCCTTTTTATTACAATGCTTTCACATAAACACTGAACCTTAAAATCCTTATAGAAGATATTCACAGCAGAAATATCTTATGGAAAACCATACGAAGTTGTTCAAGTTTTTATGACTGTCTTAAAACTGGGCTGGGTTGGTAATGACTGGAAGTCCACATTTTCCTGTTGGCTATAGAAAATTACTTCATATTCTGCTTAAGTTCTGTGTGTCATAAAATGCTGCAGTAAAAGACACCCTCTTATGATCTCACAAGGGAGCCTGTAGGACTACAGCAGCATTGGGAACATTGTGACCTTTCAAACACTTATTCTTTCCTCTGGGAGAATTGGGCGTATCATAAAATTTCTAAACCTAGCTGGTAGAGGCATACAAATATGTATATATTATGTTCAGGGAAGTCTTTGGAGTTTCTCAGATTAGTATTCAATTAAACTCAAACCTCATGTCTAACTCTGCCCAGGTTCTTAAGTGCATTCTTCAGTAGCTAAACAACTATTATGATGGAGTTACAAATTCTTACTTCTGATACCATAACAAACATAATACTTATGATTAGAATTTATAATCCAAACAGAGGTCTTGAGAAGACTGTAAGCTAGAAGATCAAAAGGGATTGAGGGAAAAAACATATAAATCATACCTAAATGAAGTTAGTAAAGACTTTAAGGGCAGAATAGAGCTGAATTGGCAGGAACAAATAAAGAAATGAAACTGGACTAAGATTAAGGTTAAACCATGAAATAAACTTCCAGCGTTAATGTCCATTTATGAGGCTTTTTGTATTGGTGCACTTGGAGATGTTCTCTTTTTGTCATGCCCTACATGTTCTTCTTTCCTCATTTTTCATCACCTTTCTTGCACTGACACTGAAACAATCCCTAGACACGTCCTGAACTAGACAGCAGATTAGATTTTAGTTGGCAGGGGATTCAGCTGAACTTCACAGCTATGTTTCTGGGTTGCTGCCTAGATACACAATAGCACACAACTGTGAGCTACAAAGAGCTCCACACCTTGGAGCCTACAGCAAACATTTGCAAGAAGGACACATACATAAAGGAACAGCAAAGAGCAAAAAGTTAACATCCACCATGCTCCCAGACAAACACAAAGTAGTTTGGACAGAGATCTTGGCTCAGGATTTATATTACTACCAACTCTGTGGACAATGAAGATCAACATTTTCTATGTGAAAATGTTGCTGATATGAAGAGTAAACTTCTCATCTCTTATTACCATAAAACCATTCAACAGCCCATAGCCCTCTAGTAACCTTGAAAAGGAAGAAAATCAAAATATGACTTGTGGGTCAAAATTTTAGGCTACAGGCCAGTAACTAGTTCACTTAACCACTGAGCCAAATCCCCACCATTATCTGTCATGATATGTCTGGACAAGCCGAGTCACTTTCTTCCATGTTAAGAACTCTCTGTTTTGTAGCTAACAAATAGCAAGAGTGTGTTAGGATTCTTTCTGCATACTATTAATAAAGCAGAAGAGCATGCTTGATACAGCTAGCTTGCCCTAGCTCCAGTTAAATCTCCTACAAGCATTCAATTGAAATCAGTAAGAACAAAAGTGGATCAGCGGCGATACACTCCATGGCCTATAAACTTGTTTGATTTACTTCACGGAAAACTCATCTAATACAACTTAGGCTAAACTTTTAATGTATGTATCTCAGTTATATTTTCCTAAGTGTCAACACTACACATTGCTTTTCCATCATTATTACTAGGAGACATAAGCCATGTCACATATGCCATGTACTCAAAATGAAACACTGAAAAATAAAAATACCTCCCCCCCAGTATATGCAGTATTAACTTTGACATTAAGTACCTATGCAGATAATTATATTGTACTGCTAATTTTAGATTGGGCTTCCTGTTTGATTCACCTGGAAGCAAGATACAGTTCCTTACAACTAATTAGGTTTCATTTTAATGCATTAAAATACCTAATGAAATTCAGAATTTTATACCCTGTAGATTATAAGAGCATGTAAACAATAGGAGATCTTATTATTAAAGAAATAACTCTGTGACTTTGAGTAAGTGGATCGAAGAAATATAACACATCTCTTCAATGTAATCTTTGAAATACATTCCATCTTCATTTTTTTTCCTGAAGTTCATGAATAACTGAGAATAATTGTAATTAACAAAATTATAATTATTAATAAAAGTGGGAATAGGAAATTATTTTGTTAAAAATTTGTTCTACTATATGATCCAATTGTTGTTACATTTTTTCAATTCTTCTAAGTTCTAAGCTGAAATAAATTAATACAAAATAATAACATAGTCTTGAAGTTACTGTATTGTAAGTTTCAGCATTACCTAAAGATCGAGGACATCTCATAAGACAGTGACTACTCAGCATCAGCTTGCTCACTGACACAAACATCCCTCTTTCCAGAACATCACCACAGAGATGATCAGTAAAGTTTCAGATATTCCATGTTCTCCATTTATAGTCTAAATTGATCTTCCTCATCTTCATTTTCAAATCCCCTAGGAGCCCAGTAAACAAAAGACAATAATTTTTTTTTCCTGAACAGTGAATAAATTAACGCTGCATTTACTAGTTCAGTCTCTGCTAGTGTCATGTTTTGAGACTTGCTTGTAACTTGTCTCTTAAAGAGAATCAAAAATAAATATTCTAATGTATGGGAACAGCTGAGTCACGGCCTGAACCTCTGATTGATCACCTGAGGCGAGCCATGAGCCAGCCAGAGGAGCACAGCTGAAGGCAATTCACCTGTGCTGCAGGAAGGGTGGAGCCTAGCATCCCCCCCCCCCCCCCCCCAGACCTATTTAAGAGCTGGCGACCAGTGGGGAAGGATCTTGTCTGGAGATCTTCTCTTCTGGTGTTTTTTGTGGGTGAGCCTAGTGTATGGGTAAGCCTTCCATTTATTTCTTCTTGTTATCTTAGTCTACTTTGCCTAACTCTCTTGTTCTTTCTTTTTTTGTGATTATAACATCTTAATATCCATTAATTATATACTAAACATATAGTTTTTATAAGCATGTTGTAGATCTTTGTTCTCTCATTTTTAACATCATGAGCTTTATTTTGAAGGTTTCTCTGAATAAAAAATGTTACTTAATGCAGACTTTCTAATACAAACTTCTCTTATAGTACAAAATAGACCAGATTTAAAAATAAATAAATAAATAAAAGCAGAATATTAAAGAAAGATTAAAAATAAAACTTATATAAGCTATAAGAAACTGGTAGGTGTGTTTAAAAGGAGATACCTCCTCATCTATCCAGTGCAGAACACAAAGTTAACTAAAGGTTTGATTTGGGAATGCTGAGGTCAGCTGGAATTTTGTTACTAGTTTCAGCAGAAGCCATTTTTTCCTAGTCTCTGTGCGGGACAACATAGATCCAATTTTCAAAACAGCTAAATGTCATTCAGCTGAATTAAATGTGGAGCTTGGGGTCTTTGTAGTGTTCTACACTCTACTCCAAAATGTTGGAAGAATGATTAATTTCACTAACACCATACGAAGCTCCCTCCATGTATTAGATAATTATGCACTGATGTGTTATTGGGTTTCAGGTGTAGGGTGTGCGACATCAGGCATTTAAGAAAAACACAGGTATGTATTTATTCATTGTATTGCAGTCTCACCCAGCTTAAACCTTGGAAAAAAGGTCAGTACCCCAAGAGACATCATGGTGGAGGAACTATCAACACTCAGCAATAGAGGCGCGAGGCTCTTCAAGAGACGTCAGCGGAGATCTGACAAATACACATATGAAAATTATCATTATGTTGCAAACAAGCCAAGAAATGTGAGTATTTTGTAATAACTTGCTTACAAAACACAGTGAAACTAGCCTGAGGTTCCTTTTGTGCTCGAGATAAACGTTATGCATGATTTATTTGTAGCTTTAGGAAGAACAAGGAGACAAAGGATAAAGCTTGTGGCTGAAATACAATTATTTTCCTGAACTGGTCCCACAGGAAATGGGATAAAGCATTAGCAATACCCTGGGTATTCTTATGGCAGTGATCAAATGTACTTGATGTTTGTCTCATCTGTGGCCTTGGCAAAATACTTAAACCACTTGTTTATTGTCTGAAAGTAAGGAGAAAAACATTCATACATTTTATTTAGGTCTTAATTATTTGAGTGTGAGCACTTTACATCCAATCTAACATAGCATGCGAGCAGCCCCTCTAATTCCATCACAACTCTGAATCTTTAAATCCTGCACAGGTGATGCTATGATTGTATTAGTACCAAACCCTACAGAATCCATAGAAAGACTTGTACTGAAATCTTCTTTTGTCAAGAACTCCACGTAGGGAAATAAAAATTAGTATATGTCATGTACTGATATGATAAAGCCTGAAGTTTGAATTGGTACAAACAGGAGATGAGTAATTTATGAACCAAACAGCAAAGCACTAATGGTTACTCAAACTATGTTCAATTGTATTAACAAAAACACACGTAAATTAATCAGAAACAATAAAACAAGTGCAGGTTTTTGACTCTAAGGAAACTTTCTTGTATAACTGCTTCTCACAAGGAGGCTTTTGGAGCAGAAAGTTTGTAATAAACCATCCTAATGGAAATTTTGCAGATCTCTCTACATCTTCTGTAGTATTTCTCGCAAAAACACACAAACCATGCATGATGTACAGTCAATTCTGACAATGGAGGAAATTGTTCCTCTTTGGCTTCTGTTCCTCTCCCTTAAATACCTATTTAGACATTGTTTTCTGCATCAGCTGATTCTGGCTGCCAAAATTAATCTTTCTAACATACCTTAGGATAGCTCCAAAACAGACTGCCTTAATCTTTTTTTTGTTTGTTTCAAGTTAAAACAAGTATTGAATATTTGCTTTCCTACTTTAAGAAACTCTTACTCTAAAACTGTCTATATTTAAATTACTTTTAGCTTATGCGTCATAGCTAAAATAAGATACTGACTTCTTATGAGACTCCAATTCTATATTTATGCAACAATGATTAAGCTTTTAGATGTTTCCTTAGAACTGGTGGCCCAACAGCCGAGTGGAAAATAACACCGTATCATTAATCTTCAGAAAGTGACCCACATTGAAGTTGCTATTTCTATTATAAATACAGGGAAAATCCCAAATGAAATCAATTCAACAAATGCAGTGGATTTTCAACGAAGATAGGAAAAGAAGCTTTGAAGAATCAGTGCTTTGAAACTCAAATGGCTCAAACCTAACAGAATATTTAAACAGTGAGAGGGCCTTATCTTGCATATCACAACTCCTGGCATTTAGTGATTCCTCAGCCCCCAGTCAAAGTAACAGGATTTACTATCTGCTGTGAATCATGTGGCCCACAGGCACAGGCAGGTACTGTAGTGACCAGTATGAGCAACAGAAGGATGAACTCTCTTCTTAGACTGCATAATTAATTAGATAATAGATAAGTAATTAAATAGAGCTTAACTTCAGAAAAGGACAACTCAGTTAGATGGTAATTAGGCCTCTTATTGATCTAGCTCTTCAAACCCTCAATTCTTTGTATAAAGCTTTAACACACTTGAAATATATACATTTAAAACTGTGCTGTAATACCATTCTTGAAACTGATAGACTATTCACTTTTGCTTACCTAGCCATTGCAAGAGAGTTGTGAAACTGTTTAATCTTCTGGATAACAATTGGAAAGCTCAGAGGAATGCTGTCTAGCAAAAATGGTACCTAAAAGCAGGAAAGTATGCCTTTGGATAATATGTCCTGGGTCTCAGACGTGGGCTGTAAATACAGTAATACTCCGTCCCTCAAAAGAGAATCATGAATGAACTCTTTTTTTTCCTTTTTTTTTTTTCTTTTTTACTTTTTGGCCTTTGCTATCAATGATGTTTGTTTATACTCGAATGCAGCGTGGAGAGCCCATACACAGTGTTAAAATGGATGGCCTCAGTGTTGAAGGAATTCCCCAGCACGCTCCAATGACGCCCCCTAATACACCTGATCCCCGGAGCCCACCACATCCTGACAACATTGCCCCAGGTAATACAGTAACTTGTAGATGTGAATGGTACTTAGTGTTCCTTACACAACAAGTGGCAGAGCTCTTTATAAAACAACATCATTAACCATTATTTAGGAATGGAATTGCTGTTAGAAATTCATAAATTTAGTTAAGATAACTAATCAATTTCCCATGGAAATTTAAAGCAGTACAGTTTACTTGCTTCATTTTTAATGATTTTACCTGCCTTTTGTACAACTTTTCCTTCAACTAAAATGTGCATTATGATCCGGTGAAACTGCCCATATATTTATTGATCCCATAAATATTGAGAAAGCTCCTCAGTTGTTAAATCAGACTAATACACTGCATTTACACTGCCCTAGTTTCTAAACTGCAATACAACGCTCAACAGTCTGAAAATTATCTATTGTAGTTTAATTAGCCAGAAACGTAAATATGAAGTTATCGCAAGTTTTGCTGGACTCTTCAATAGAGAAGTAAAGAGGAATTTGCCCCAGCTATGAACAGTTCTGCTTTATTTAAGTCTTTAACTGTGAGGGTACTGTTTTTTTTTTTTTTTTTTTTTAATTAAAAGCAGTGAGCTGACTTAAGGCCTTATTTTGTATTCTCTAAGACTAGAGAAGGCTAATTTGTTGTGATTAATTTAACCAGTGATATATTCTTTCTTCCTGTTTATGAATTATCCATGAACACACTGTTTTTTTTGGTGTTTTTTTTGTTTGGTTTTTTACAAATTCATTCTTTGTTTGGAATTATTCAATGCACGTTTTGTGCAGACCTTTTCCAGTCTATGTAAACTAGGTCAATGCTACTCTGTTGGAGAATGCTAAGACTGTGCATACATGGGACAAATACAGTTCAGATGGAGGCATTTTCCATTGCTAAGAGATGATAGAAATCTTCACATTTGAAAATGATGAAAATTATTTTAGTTCTGGTGAAATAAGTAGTTATTGAACCACAGAGTAGGGTTTTGTTGGTTTTTTTTAATGTTTGTAAGAGAAAATAGCATTACTTTGTAGAGCTAGATGCTGAATAAGGACAAAAGGGAAAATAGATTTCCTTTGTTTTTTCAAATGAATATTATAGGTCATATATTAGGATAATGCCTTGCTGATTTTAATTCTTCAAACTGTACTTTCAGGCCTGTTTTTCCTCTCTCTCTATTTGCTCTTGCCATAATGCACTTGCTTATAGAAGAAATCACACTGAATATGGAATTGCTTGCTTATTAAAACTCTGATCGGAGCCAGACCCTCAGATGTTTATGCAGAGAAAAATCTGTTTGTTAATTCAGGCCAAGGATGGTATTGATACACTCTCATTTTCAAACAGATACTTATGATTATATGAATAAAGTTATAAATTTATATGAATTAAATGTAGCCTCAAAAGGAGAGTAGAATACCTCAGAGCAGTTATCTAAAAATCTCCAAATGCATTCTGTGACCTATCTGCTGTTGCATGGCTTTGGTCAACCCATTTGTTTCAGTAGTTCATTTTATCTATTGGTGAACTGATAGAATATCACTTCCTATTTTCATAGGACAATTATAAGGAATCAAAAAGGCAGTATATTGTTATACTGGTTTTCCTGTGATCTCCTTGCAGGATATTCTGGACCACTAAAAGAAATTCCTCCTGAAAAGTTTAACACTACTTCTGTGCCAAAGTATTATCAGTCTCCTTGGATAGAAGCCATTAGGGATGATCCTGAGCTGCTGGAGGCCTTATATCCTAAACTTTTCAAACCTGAAGCAAAGCCGGAACTGCCGGACTACAGGAGCTTCAACAGGTAATTCTGAGAGGGCTCTGAATTTTACAGTGAAGAATTACTGTGAAACAAAATGTTTCCAGCAGCTGTAAAAATACACACCATCTGTACTTGCAAGTATATACATCCAAATTTACACAGATCACAAGCAGCAAGCAAGAGCTCTTTCTGCAGTGTGGGCCCAACACCAACATTAATTATAGAACAAATAATGGGAGGTTAATTGTTGAAAATATTCAATAAGAGAAAGAGAGAAATAAAGAGTGGCATAAAAAATAGTATAGGATATAGTAACTCTTCAAACTTATTCCAGCATTTCTGTTGACTTTGGCAGGTACAGTATAATGACCTCGTAAGACCCATCAGGGAAACTGAGTAACACTTGGCTTGCAAACTAATACATTAGAAATAGAAAGAGGTCTGAGAATAAAGTTTCTTATACAGTAGCTTCTACACTGGGGCTTTTTGGTAGAGCTTCTCGACAAACTGAGGATAATAGTTTGGAAATATTTTGAAATTTTAAGACTCCTGATTCGTTGCTATCATTCATTCCATTTGCATTATCGTTATTCATCAGTCATGGACAGTTTTTTACTACAGCTTAGCTAAGCTTAAACTCCTTCCTCAAAACAACAGACGGATGGCAATGTAATTAAAAAGTTCACACCTATTTATTTAGTGAAAAACACCACTTGGATTCCTACCATAGATGGGCCTCAACAATGAGTGCATGGAGCAAAACTCTGCAGTACATCAAAATTGGCACTGTGGACACCACACTAATTTTTATATCCTAATACAATATAACACACATCACAAGTGTGTAGCACGCTCTTGTCAGTAAACAAAATAACAAATACAAATCAGAGATATGCTACAGCTGCCAATATTGGAACAGTAGCAGCACAGTTTATGTACTATGGTCATTGCAACAGACAGGGAGAAAAAAATAGCCAAAGGTACATATAGACAGAAATAGGGAAAGAATCAGTGTTTCCTCACACAAGAGAGATTTGAAGTCCAGCACACAAGTCATCACTGTTGAAAGATAGGATCAGTCAAGGCACAGAGTGCATCAGTGAGTTGAGACAGTATCTGATGGTTTATTTGTGAATTTCTAGCTGCTTTGTGGTCCTATAATCTTTTAGTTGTCCTCTATATAACACTAACTGCTCAGATAACACTAACTGCTCAGATTTCTTCTTCGTTCACTCTTGAAACTGCCATAAGAAAACCTAAAACTTGCCACATACAAACAAATCCAGATTGTGAAACTGATAGATTCTTGCTCAAAATGCAAGACACAGATATAATCTATGATACTTAAACAAAAACACCACTTTCCACAGTAAAAATAACAACAATCTAGTGAATCCAGAAAAACTGATACATACAGTACACTCTGATATATGTTTTTGAGCAAGAAGGACAAGCTCCAAAAGAAAGAATTTGGAAAATTGAAATTCAAGATACTAGCCTATTGGAGAGGATCTCAGGGCCATGAGTTACATGTCTGCATGTCTCAAAATGGATAGGAGAGTGGAGTGCCTGATAATGGGATTGAAAGCATGCATCCAACCTGCAACTGTCAACCTAGTTAACTACAAATATTAGAGAGAAGGCTAAGTGTGACCTCTGCCAGAATACTGAAAATAAATCAGAGTTGGGCCAGAGGGAATAAACACTCCTTTTTTTTCTAGCTGAACAATAAAGGAGCTCACGTGGAAGATGAGAAACTATGGTCCGAACCTGAATGCCCAGATCTGTTAAAGTACTCTCTGTAGTTATTGCTTTTAGTAAGGGGAAGAAACAGATTTGGGAGCAGCAAAAAGATTCTAAATTGGAGCACCTCCCCTACGATGACAGGCTGAGGGAGCTGGGCTTGTTCAGCCTGGAGAAGAAAAGGCTGCGAGGTGACCTCATTGCAGCCTTTCAGTACCTAAAGGGAGCCTACAAACAGGAGGGGAATCAACTCTTTGAAAAGGTGGATAACTGCAGGACAAGGGGAAATGGTTTTAAGTTGAGGGAGGGAAGATTTAGGTTGGATGTCAGGAGGAAGTTTTTTACTATGAGAGTGGTGAGGTGCTGGAACAGGCTGCCCAGAGAGGCTGTGGATGCCCCGTCCCTGCAGGTGTTCAAGGCCAGGTTGGATGGGGCCCTGGGCAGCCTGGTCTGGTATTAAATGGGGAGGTTGGTGGCCCTGCATGTGGCAGGGGGTTGAAGATTCATGGTCCTTGAGGTCCCTTCCAACCCAGGCCATTCTGTGATTTAAACCTCTTTACTATTAACTGTGTGGCCTGACATCTAGACAAAGAACCACAGTCTTTCTAACCCAGTTAATTTTATATTTCTGGACAGCATTTGTGATTCCGTATAGAGGACTTCATCACCTCTGGAACACTATATATGAGCTGTTAGTTTCATTCTTAAAGAGATGTATTGCAAAAAAACCTTTGTTCACACATATACTGCCATTTGACACAGCAATTCAACAGTACTAGCAATTGGTTTTGAGTGAAAGTGCTGTAATGTACTCTAACCTTGCTGCGGTAATAGTACGTCACGTTTGTTCTCAGATATGAAAGTTTGGGCAAAATTGTATTAATTAAGGAATCACAGATGAGCTTGAATTAAGACAGATGCAGCTGCCAGTGTAGTTAAAAGATCGGAACATTTGCAGAAGGAAAACTTCATCAGTCTTTTGTTTCTAGATACTTTTATGTTATCTAATGTAGGTCACAGAATCCTTGATGTCTTTAATTGCAGTCTAGGAGAGAAAGCAAATGACAGTGTTTTAAACATTCAAAGTGTGGTATAATGACACCCTTTTATTATCAGTGGGGGCATCAATGAAAGCTTTCTATCATGATTCATCATTCAACAAAGTACCATTATGTCTGTTCTCCAGCAAAACACTAGTACAGTCATCATTAGTCAGAACAGGGTGTGGTTAACATAATATGTGATGCATAGAATTCCCAAAGAAACAGGCCTGAGATTCTATCCAAGTTTGCTCAGTGGTATCTGTCAACATGGCTCTTGGATTTCACTGGCCATATTCAGGTTCCTTTCAGCTTTGCACATTCCAGAACAAACCAGCAACATGACTTTAGCAGTGAGGGACATCTGATGAGATGGAACAGCCCCACACAGACACAGCTTTGAAGTACACTCAGTGTTCATCAGCATTCAGGCTTTTTGGTTTGTTTGTTTTTCACTGCCAGCAATGAAATGGCAGCTCTGGACCATACAGCAATGTAATTTTTTATCACTGACTTTAACCATAGCAGAATCTGAACTAAGGAATTCACAGTAATATTGGAATCTAGAAGGCATATTACACTGCAGGCATCTTGAAAAGCTGGCAGGTCAATGAAGGGAGAGGCAGTGACAACAAACAAGAGGCACATCTGCTTTCTGATGCAGGGCTTTCTGTGAGGCAGCCAATAATGGCTGAACTGCAGCTAGCACCAGACAGAGCGTATAATCAGAGAAATTGGGTTCGTAGAATACTGGAAGAAGACTCTTCAGACAAGGCTACCCTTTCTCCCCTGGATGAAAAGGAATCTGTGCTCACAGAGAAATGCTTCAGAACAGAGCCATGCCACGTGACTTCTCTTGGAGGTTCCTTCAGGCAAATTAACATATGTTGATGAGTTTGTAATATCAGTTAATTTAGTACCTTTATTGCATATGCCTTCCTGAAACTGAGTAAAATATCAAAGTTTAGCTTACATGTGACACACAAAGCACTACATCTCGCTCACATAAGACAAGCAAGTCAGACTGGTTCTGTCTGTCCTACCAGACAAATTATTGCTCAGCCTTCTTAATTCCCAGAGTGTTCCAAAAACACTAAAGGAATCCAGTCCATCTGGACTGGGCTCCACTTTTATTGATTAATGGATTCTGAACTATATTGTAAAAATGCCAAGAACCAGATCCTCAAAGGAATTTTGGCTGCCTAACTTCAACTAATGTAAGAGATTAGTGAAGACTAAATGTTTAGCCAGTACCTTAGCACCTAAATACCTTTGCCAAACTGGTATTAGCTCTTGCAGTAAATTAGCCATGAAGGTCTGAGCATTTTGTAGGATCAAGATGTCTGCTCTTACATCTCCTTTTCAGATAGAACTAACAGAATAAGCAAAATATTCTGTAAATAATAGTCCCATTTTTATTTGCGGAACTCACATTTTTCAAAATGATGTAACTGAATCTGCTAATACAGTTACCTCAAACTTTCCCAAATCATCAACTACAAGTAATCTTCTATTTTGAGACAATAAAATATACAGTAAGACTGAGACCAAAACAAGAACCCATGGCAAAACAGCTGAAAACCTGTTTGTGTCTGATGACATTAAATCACGCATCAACTTTTCAGGAATACGTAAAGTGGTCATTAAACAGTCTCTTAGGCTTCCTGGTTCTACTTCCTATGGCTTTGAACCAGGATTTCTGCCCCTGCTATGAGCAATGACTCCTGGAATTTTTACATATGAGTTCTAGGTTTCTATACAATGAATCAGAGCTTACAACACAGCTCATTATAACATCACGTAGTCAGACAAGTTGTGGCTCATAACAAATATACCACTGCTGTAAAGGAAAATTTACATCTATTAGCCAATTACTGTACTACCCTTTATGCTGATTGTGCTTCATGTGCTTCTGCCAAACACACAAGAATGCATAATCCTCTGTGGCCAGACTTCACATAGTAAATAATATTTTTTTCCCCAGAAAAGCCACTTGAATTACTATAGAACACTCTCCTGTTTCTGTTGCCTATAGAAATATGTTGTACTTAAAAGAATAAAATACTAAAAATACGAAGTATTACACTATAGATTAGTTTTGGATTTTATACAGCTACTACTGTTCTACCCATCTTGACTGTTCCTTTTATTTATATATTGATGAGGATTAAATATTACAACAATGTGAGAATGGGTATCTTAATTAGAGCAGCAATTAAAACAATCTTTATTATCCTGTAAGATGTAGATCACCACATTCACTCTGGGCCAATTATCAAGCAATTATTTTTAATCAGTATCATGCAGTATCCAATTTGGCACTGTAACCTGGAAGACAGGAAAAGATTGATACCACAGGCATTCTGTGAAAAGAATTCCCTTTGACCTCAAGAGAGTTTAATGCCTGGAGTGGTTGCTGCTGCAAAATCTTATCTTCATTTGGGAATGAGTTTTAGAGTTTAATCCAAAGCAGCCTTCTTCCCTTCCTAAGAATGTGTGCCCAGAACTTTCATGACATTTTTATATCTTTCCCGACTGACTTCAGGATTTAACACTATCCCTTTTGCCAAAGCCTGCTTGTATCGTAATTTAGTGAATCATCTGTGCAGTGCCTGGGAGTAATATTTCTTTCAGGTCACGGATTTACTCATTTTTTTTTTAATGTATCAATCTCTTTATTTTTGTGCACTTAATTGCCCCCCTTTTTTTTTTTGTTTTGTTTTATCCACTGCAAAACCATAGTCAGATCTTCAATTTATCTTTTTTAGTTTCTGTTGCTCTTGGCTTATGCTATCACCTGGAGCCACTGGAAACATATGCCAGCAGATCTGCTTGTTACCAAATACACAAAACTTACCAGGGCTAGAGAAATTCCACTACACAAAAAAAAAAAGTAAGAAGTGTCACATACTAACATATGTATTTTTACAGAAATCGAGTGTTAATATGCAACTTAAAAATCATTGGCCAGACTATATCGTGGCAAAGTTATGTGGCTGATAAAAACAGGCATGTCTGTTTGGTCATGTTTGCTTACACAAAGGATTCTGGATGCAGAGAAACACCTCTCCCTCTCCACCCCTTCTCCTCACTCTCCTATGTTTTTTTCATCCTAGAAACTGGCAAATATAAAAGAATCATGGGAAGTATTTGAAAATACTTCCATTTTAAAATATTTTTAAATGCACGTAACAATCAGTTCCTGCTTAGAATTTCTTATCTTTTAGTTTCTCAGGCTTATCATCTGAGGGAACATTTACATTCAAATAACATGAAAAAATACTGGCTGCAGATTAGGGGCCAATTTCAGCCACTGTTTCAAGGCTTAGTTACATAAACATTTTCTTCAGCAACAAAGCTGAGATAAGAAGCCCTCACCCACTCTTCTCCTTTCTAAAGGCTGTTGTCTTTGGCTGCTCCTTTCTGCTTGATGTTACACTTCACTGCCTCCTCACTTGTATTGTTACAATCGTTGCACCACAATGATTAAAAAGCAGATTGCAAAAATAATTTGGATTTTAAAATCCTCCTTTTGAAGCATTGGTTTTGGTTTGTTTCTTTGTTCGTTTGTTTTGCAGTATTTTTTGTTATTGTTATTTTTGAAATGCAGATCACATAGGTGACCCACATTCATAGCATACCCCACACATACACTGGTACAACATGGTGCCAAAATACAGTGTAGTGAGAAGAACAAGCAGCTGGGAATATGAGTAAATGGGGTGAGAACTTCCTAAACTAGTTACTCACTAGTGAGAATATGCTGAACTATGTTTATCAGACAGATTGATTTGTCACCAATGAAGTAAGTTTAGTAACTCTGACTCACCAGAGAAGAAGTTTTCTTGCAACATTTTTTCTGTCCACTTTTGTACTGATGACTGAAAAAGGCTTTACCTATGGAAAAGTACATCAGGTTAGAGATAACTTGCCAGAAAAGAAATAGCATTCTTTTTCCAAAGTCTTTAGAAAGTAATTTTGGTCATTAAAATAACTTCTACCCTTTTCAATCTCTGGGAGGCAAATAAAACAGGCAATTTTTAAATAAACTTTAATTTTATTTCTCTAAAATCTACAGAGTTGCCACTCCCTTTGGTGGTTTTGAGAGAGCATCAAAGCTGGTTAAATTCAAGGTGCCAGATTATAATCTACTGATGTTAAATGATCCAAGATTCATGATTCTTGCAAATCCTCTTGCTACCAGAAGATCCTTCAATAGGACTCCTAAAGGATGGACATCTGAGAATATTCCAGTAGTGTTCATTCAACCTTCAGATTCCAACGATGTTCCAGAAACAGAGGACCTGTGAGAGAAGCTGCACTCTATATTGTACAAAGTTTGGAAAGCTGCACATTCATGAATTATTGGTCCAAATGTTACTAAAGGCTACTGAGAAAACCTTTCCTTGGCAGCTGGCACATAATGTCTGATGTGTCATCTCTTTTCTGGAATCTATTTTTCATCTGTTGACACAACATAAATAAAGCAATTTGGCAAGTATTGGCTGAGATATTTTGTGTTTGTATTTATTTATTCTTTTACTTCAGTGAAAACTAAAATTGTTCTAAAATCTTTGCTTGTCATCTCAGAATAGGTGCATTAAGAAAAGTTGCTAACAAGGAATTTGATTTGATTATGGTAGAACTGAGTAATACTGTGACACTGCACTCCATGAACTCCTAGTATCACCTGCTCAAGATGAGCACGGAGAAACCAACCACTTTTCTCAAACCTGCTTGATCCAAAGTTAAGAGTTTCATCATTACTTTGGTGACAGCAAGTTAAGCCATTTTCTTCTTTCCTTCTCTAATTCAACTTTAATTAAGGACATCAATGTCTTTGTCATATGGATTTGTTTACGGAAAATGCAGTGTATTTGTCTATGACAAAAGTAAGTACTGGTATGAAAAAGTACAAAGGCATTTCCTGGATGAGTTTAGAATGTTAGTGCTGATTGCAACTAAAAAACAGGTTGTGTCAAACATACCAGAACAGTATCGTGTGAGCTATGTTTCCATAAGAGCTTTTGTTAATATAAAGAAAATTCATATATCATTCTCCCCACAGTCACAATATATTTGGGGACTTAAAAGCACATGAGTTTTCTTGTTCTTGATATGCTGACAAGTTCTGACATTTTGGAAACACAATTATTAGACTTCTATTACATCCATAACTTCATAGGAGGCAAGCAAAATCAACTTCATTGGCTGACAACAGCTTCCTAGCATAGATTAGTTTGGGGATCTTAGCTGCATACAACGTACAACAATATATGGACAATGATAAAAAAATGTATATATGAATTCTTCAAGCCTAAAAATGCAAAAGCTAAAGAAAGAAAACTATGGCAAGGACTAATGCAAACATGTAGAGGAAGTTGTTTTTTGTAAGCTATAGTAAGCTTTCATAAAATGCTATAGAAATACAACATACACACGTGAACAACATACGCACTGTGAATAAGGAACACAACGTATTTATTGCATACTCTGTAAAGACAACTTACACATGCAGATGGAAACATAGAATTGCTCAGGTTGGAAAAGACCCTCAAAATCATCAAGTCCAACCATGACCTTACCATCCTACCCTAACTCTAACACCCCTCTGCTAAATCATGTCCCTGAGCACCACATCCAAACACTTTTTAAACACATCCAGGGATGGTGACTCAGCCTCCTCCCTGAGGAGCCTATTCCAGTGCTTAACAACCCTTTCTGCAAAGTAGTTTTTCCTGATATCCAACCTAACCTTACCCTGGTGCAACTTGAGGCCATTTCCCCTCGTCCTGTCATCTGCCACCAGTGAGAAGAGCCCAACCCCTCTCTTGCTGTAAGCGCTTTTCAGATATTTGAAGAGAGCCAATTGTGTCAGAGAAGTGTGCAACTTTTTGGTATTTAATCTTCCAACACTGACTGGCTCTTGCCAGACTGTCTTTTGGGATTAGGCCTTGGAGCATAATAAACCCTAAAGCCATGCTTGGGAACTGCTTGGGAGAATGGTAATTGGCAGAAATCAGGGCTCATCAATGCACTAAGCATTCAGCAGCACAGAGGATCAACTGCCAGTGTCCAGGAATGTTCCCTGGCAGCATCACTCTAGATGTATGTAGTCTTATCATACAAGTCTCACTGCAATAAACAAATCTCTCTGCCAAAAAAAAAAAAAAAACCAACTCCTTTGCCACTAAAAATATTTGTAAAGGTTGGAAATTCAGGGATCTTCTATTGACTTCAGTATGTTGTTTTGGGGGATGCTTATACGGCACTTCAAACGTATGAGAAGTAGGAAACTAGCTTTGGGTGAAAACAATGAATTTCAGAGATCAGGATTTTATTAATTTTTGTAGACAAAGAGATGGCTCCCAAATGAGATATAAATGGTTTCTTTAGTTAAAAGTCTGGAAAGATATATACAAAATAACGAACACATTTTATGAATTTCAGTGGTCCTTCTAAAAATTCCTGCAGCAATGGAGTTCAGCAGAAAGGATAAAAAAAAAGCACACAGGCAACAGCTTTACACAAATATAAACAATCACAGCATGCAAATATTTTTAAAACTATGCTTAAAGCAGCACACACACTGTAACACATGACACTCATACTTGCTTCCAAATGAGAAGAGAACGGAATGGTGTGATGAAAGAGCAGAAATGTAGTGGGGGGCAAATATATATTTTAAAAGGTCTTTGTGCCCAAAGTGGCCTCATTTGTCTTTACATTAAGCTGCTCATCATAGCAGTTTAAGAGGGACTTACATATTCATTTCAACGTTTTAAACAATGTGGTGAACAGCGGAAACAGATCTGCTATTTCTGAACCTACACAAAATACTGCCTGATTACACTGTGTAAAAATGAAGTAAAAGATGCGTACTTCTGACCAGTGAATATAAGCCTTTTAAAAAACATACACACTTTAAAACTCTCTCTGATATGAAAAGGATGGCAAGTTCATGGCCTGTGCTGTCAGCAGTGTTGGTGACTAATTGGTATCAGCAGTAACCATCGTCAGAGGGAGTCCGTGTTTTAATCCTCAACAGTTATGGTATGAAAGTATACTCACTGATATAATGGCATTCCTATTTCTGACTTAGAAAATTATAAATCCATATTTCGTTTTATGCAGCTAAATTACCGTAACATGTAAATCATACACTGGCAGCAGCTAAATCAATTTTGGAAGTACTGCATGCAATAGGTGATCTGAGATTCGCTCCTGAATCCAGCAGGCCATAGGCCCTCTGCTGTGGATTTCTGCTGATGTGCCACTAGTCTACGGGGTATCAGGCATGTCTGCATGACTGTGGTAACAAAAAACCAATCAAGTCTCTCTCCCATTTTCTACCAAATCCTGTAGCTGATTTCTTCCACGTTTCTCATGTAACGACGGAAGTCAATACCAAGAAACGAACAATTCCTGCTAAGTTATATTATTAGCCTTCCTCCAAAAACATGCTGTTTATGCCTAATCTTGTACTTCAGATGCAAAATTTCTTACAGGCACAAACATTCTTAGCAGTTATAAATATGTCAGCATAACCTCCCATATAAATCTACACAAATGATAGTTGTGGAAATAAAGAAGTAATCTGTTGTCTCAAAGTATTGCAGTGTTTTAGTTAGTTTAATGGGCTTTGCTTTGACCATAGTCAGGAAAACAATGCTGGCGACAGAATTCTGACCTCAGCAGAATCAAACAAGGGCTTTGGCTTTGACTTCTGTGAAGGCAGAATTTCACCATTCATTGCACTTACTGAATTTCAAATCTGTATTTGTAATTGAAATTTATGTCACTGTCTTAAGCCATTATGTGTCCAGCAACAGAATGGATGTTTTAGATTATAGAGCTGAGGCTGACCACATGTGTGGTTGCTTTTGCATGGCACATATGACAGAACACAAACAACTCCAGTCATGCCTCAGAAATACTTGGGGAAACTTCATGAAACCATGGGGAAAAAAAATGAGCCTCTGGGTACACACAGATTTTATTTTCACACTTGATTTTATTTATTTTCAGAACGAAGATTAATAGCCTGCAAGCTAAAGCCCTCTACTACAGTTGTCAGATGGCCTAACGAATGCAAAGTGTTTTAGACTGTAGCTAAGACTGTAGGAAATACAGTAATAAAGTGGAGCATAAAATCCTACATATGTTGGATTAGAATTTTATAACCCGTAATGGATAAATCATTAGCAGTCTAGACAGAAATACCAGCAAACCCCTATTCAGCAGACAGTCATGCAGCGTTCGCTCCGTTTACGACTCCCAGAGGCTACAGATTTTTCAAAAACAAATAAAGTACTCTAAATTATTTACAAATAATATGTTTGCCACAGAGCTGTTATGTAACTGAGTGTGAGCAGATAGACAGTAATAAATAGTTCACCAAAATAAATTGGCACATTGATGCATTTCAATAAAAAAAATACTGAACCTAAAATACTCTTATTAAAGGAAATTTAAAAAGTAACTGAAAAAATAAAATCATTTCAAGGAAATACTTTATTTTAAACAACCCACAAGCTAATTGTTCAGATCAAGCATAAACTAATACAGAGTTCTAAACCTCCCCTCCAAGAAAGTCAGCATAGCAGAACAGAGCAGCCTCAGAAAACAAAAAGACAAAGAAAAGTTATCTGCAAGGAAACAGCAACTACACTGTCTAAAAACAAACCAAGGAAGTCCTGACAAAGGTCTCTACAAAGGGTACAGGGAAGATGAGGAGGGGACAATAAAGAACAAACTGACTGTTAATAAAATGATACAGAACCAACTTTAAAATCAACCAGATATATACTTCTTCAAGAAATGCCCAGCTGTGGAACGTCATGCTGTAAGATGTTCTGGGTCAAGAGCTATTAATAACTTCAAACCAAGATTAAACAAATGTCCATTACAGGCAGTGGTACCAATGTGATCAGAATTTGGGTTTATTGCTGGTGTGAGGAAGATCACCCCATGCCTAGCCAATTTACTTACAGGTACATATATAAGTATAAAGTACCTCCTGCTGGGCACTCTCAAAGATCAGTAATAGGTTCTGGTAGTCCCATAACAATCAGGCATTAAAGCAGTATGACAATTCTGGCAAGCGCTGTTAGCACAGAGGTTTATTGGTTTACGGTAAAGCATCCATTATGGGAGAATTAAGAGCAAAGTCAAGTTCCATATTTGAATGAGAGCACTTCAAATGTCAGAACCTCCCACGTGGTGTCTGAGCAGCACAGGGAACACAGGAGCCTGACCTCACTCCGCCTTTGGCAGCGCTCCCAACCCCATGCAGCCAGACCTCACCCTGATGTCCCAGCTCACGGCGTCCCTCATGGCAGGAACACCTCAACCCACAGCCTACAGAAAGCATTGCTGCTAAGTGGTCATTAGGATTCAAAGTTTAAGGAAAATGATAAAAGTGAAAGGAAGGATTGCCTTTACTGATTAAAACACGACTCTCGGGAAAAAAACTGTAAAATCCAAACTTTGTATCACATCTATTGCAG